GGAAAAATGGATGTTGGATGTCTGGAAAATTGGCAAGTAAGGCCAGGAACAAGATTACATGTTCACTAAGGTGAGGTAACCTTTCTTGCAGCTGTGAGCATGTACAAGATCTCCAGGCCAGATTGCAAGGGTCTTTAGCACAGATGAGGCATCTAAAGAAGGAGCTTGGTTTAGAAAAAGTAAGTGTCTTTTGAAGTTCAAAACATTTCACCCTGAAATAGCATTTAGACTTTCCTGTCTCCAAATCCTTGTAAAACTCACCAAGTGGTTGCAGTATTCAGTTTTTGCTTGAATTTCTCACTTTTCTTGTGGAAAAATCAAATAATGAAGTGCCTTTTGCAGTTCTTAACTCTGGTCTCGTCGTTTTCCACCATTGAACTTCATTTTTTTTTTCAGAGGGGCCAGTTGTGCCCCAAGTGCCAACTTTTGCTTGGAGAAGTAATTAGAGAAGTAATGAACGCCATTTATTTTGTCTGATTCATTTGTCTTCCCAAAGCCTGTAAAAGCCTCCAAATGAAGCCTCTCCCCTCAGAAAGACTCTCAAAGGATTACTTCAAAATGTTCAATCTAACGCCGCCCCCCAGTAGATTTCTGGAACTGTCCTTGAATAGTCTGTCGTTCCCTGTGATTGTAGCCACTAACTTGGTTCTCCCGTTTCTGTTTCTACAGTTGATTTATCGTTCAAAGAGAAGGAAGCAGGCAAGGAGTCAACCAAGCCAGCAAGCAAGGCTTTGGTCACTCAAGGTAAACTAACCCTCTCTTTCAGCCGTGAGCGCTCAAATTGAGCCAGTGACCACAAGACCCAAGAACTGAAAACTTGGAGTACAGTTTGCGAATGGAAACGATCGATGGATTGGTCAGAGTGAGTCAAACTCTTTGATTTTACCGTTATGCCCTCCTGTTAGTGTGTGTCACTGAAACCACCTTGGGATTATTCAGCAGTGTTCATGGTTGGTGAATCGGCAATGCAAATTTCAAAGCAATTTCACACCGATTTGTTTACGCGGTAGAAACTTTGCATAATTTCAAGAAGTTCCTGGAAGAAATTTCTCAAACCATTTATAACAATTACTAAAAAGCTTCAACTATGTCCACATGAAGAATTTGATTTCTGCTCAAGCATGAGTTGGTTCCAATTCATGTTTTCCAAGTTTGATTGATTTCCAGGGTGGTTCAGATAATCTTTTGTCTGTGTTTTTGTTGGTGGTGGTGGTACATGTTGTGATTGTCTGGGTCGATGTTTGGTATTTGTGCTGGTTTTTCCCACAGATCATCGGCTCAAATAGAGCATGTCATCGGCTCAAACTGAGCATTTTACAAGACTACAAAAAAGGACTTAGGGATCGTCTATATCCTGATGTCCTCAAGATGGGATTATGGGATCTGCTATATCCCTATATCCCCAACGCAAGACCAGCAGGACCATGGGATCTGCTATATCCCTACGTCCATCCAGGGGCGGATCTTGGGTGGCAATGAAAGGGGGAAACTCTGCTCCCTGGGGAGCATGCATGTTAGTCATCTAAAATATCGCGGGCCATCAATTAATCCTTGGCAGAGAAAAGATATACCATGATCGTCATGGTAACAGCTTTGAAATTCTTACAGGGACATCGAAACAACAGTGGTCCATTGAAAAAAAATGTAAATAGAGTAAGGTTAGGGAACTTGCCCCTGGATCTGCCCCT